TTTTTTTTTTTTTTTTTTTTTACAACTCAGAGATTCTTTGTTTCTAATTAGGCCCAATGAGTTAGAGTTACAAGGATGCATATAATTAGCTTCCTAGAAGGAAGAGTCGTAAGAGTCCACAGTTATAGTAGGTTGAAATATAATTCAATAAATTAGGGGCAGGCATTATGTAAGGATGCTACAGAAGGGGATTGTTTTAGTCAACTTTTTCACTTCTGTGACCAAAACACATGAACAATTTTAAGGAGGAAAAGTTTATTTGAGGGCTCATGGTTTAGAGGTCTCAGTCAATAGATGATGACTATTCTCAGTGCCTGAGGTGAGGGGGAACATCATAGCAGAAGAGTGTGGAGGAGGAAAGAAGCTCATGAAATGGTACCAAGAAGTGGAGAAGAGAGAGTTCTGCTCAACAAGGGCAAAATACATATACCCCAAAGGCAAGTCCCCAATGATCCTCCTCCTCCAGCCACACTCTAATTACCTACAGTTACCACCCAGTTAATCCACCATCATTTCAAGTCTGAACATCTTTTATTATCTCACACATGAGTTTTGGGGGATTCTTCATATCTAAACCCATAACAGGGATTCAAGTCTGATGTAAAAGTATGGGTGTGGTGTGCCCAATAGTGTTTAAAATTCTTTCTAATCTTTTGGGTTCATAATTTTGTGGATTGTGATTTGGATCAAATCAAGGATATAATGTCAGGCTAGATAATATCCCTGATGAACACAGATGAAGAAAATTCTTTTTTAAAAATATTTTTTAAATATGTTGATGGAGCTTTCTTTTATTCATTTATTTATATACAGTGCTGAGAATTGAACATAGTGCTTCACACATGCCAGGCATGTGCTCTACCAATGAGCCGAAACCCTAGCCCCTGAAAAAAAATTCTTAACAAAATGCTAGCAAACCAAATTCAACAGCACATTAAAAGAGTCATTAACCATGACTAAGTGGAATTTGTTCCTTGGATGCAAGGATGGTTCAACATATGCAAGTCAGTAAACATAACACATCACATCAACAGAATGATCATCTCAGTAAAGGCCAAAAAAATCATGTGACAAGACTCAACATTTTTTTTTCATGAGAAAACTCTCAACAAGTTAGGTATGGGAGCAATGATCTTCAATCCAAAATAAAGGTCATATATGACAAGCCCATAGTTTACATCATTAAGATCATCAATGAGACAAAGATGCTCATGCTCACTACTTCTAGTCAATATAATACTGGATGTCCTAGTCAATTTCATCTTAATGATTCTTCTTTATCACAGAACAGGATGTATAATCATCCTACAATACTTACTTTTTACTAGATTAGTAGTAAGCTTTGGAAATAAATCAAATGGGAAGAATTCTTGTTATTATTAAGAACCCTGAAAGCTTCAACCAAATATATAGAAAATATATAAATAATAGGTAGGAAGTAATAGAAACTCAGGGATTTTACATTGGTTCTGCCATCATTGGTGAAGTGATTATTCAATAGGAGAAGTGGGTTGAAAGGAACCTTGAGTAGGTGTCAGCCTCATCCCTTGTCTCTCTCCTATCCCAACAATGCACTTGAGTTAGGGTCTAATTTTCAGAACTTCCAGATAACAGATACCTTTCATAACTACCTTTGCAATCCTCAACCACTTTGTCACTATTAAATGTCATTTCGAAAATTAGATTCATTATTATGCTTCAAAAGGAATATGTAACATGTGTGCATCTGTATGTTTTAATGTGTTATATACTGTTACATATCAAACATATATGTATGTATTCACATATATTTCAGGAACACAGTTTGCATATGTGTATATTCACATTCACACAGGTGTGAAGCACTAAAGAAAACAAAGAGTAGAGACCAGATGACTCTATATGTGAGCTACAATGTTACAGTCAGTTATTATCCTAAAAGTACAGATTGAAGAGAGAAGAGACCATTATTTTGAATAATTTCTTGCTTATATGTAGTACTCAAGCCCTTCAGGTGAAAGACTGCAAATATATTATAGATGAAATTCAGTCATCCTTCAAGACTCCTGACCTAGCATATATCTTAATAATTTTCCAGTTCAACCAATTTCATATTATCAGTGGGGAACAGAGAGGGAAAAGTACTTGTCCAAGGCCATTTGGTGAGTTAATGATAAGGATGATTAAAGATCTAGATCTTGTGACTTCTCACCCATTGTTCTAATCTGGGTTGAATATTTTTATCCAGCAAATGTTTTCTTCTGTTACTTCAGCACCGAATACCATGCCTGGCATGTATAAATACTCTGTGAATGTGAAATTAATATGCAATTTGTTTGTTTGTACTGGGCATTGCACTTATTCCTGGGTAAATCAAAAATAACGTCTATATTTTAGGTCACCTTGTTTCAAGTCAAGAGGCATCCTTGGAAAAAGTATGATCCACAGGTAAAAAATGGTCTGAGTTTCTAATTGAACAAACCCAGATTCGTTTTTTCCAACTGGAACCTGCTTCATTCCTAAGGTTGGGTGATCTTCTTTCAGAAGTGGAATCTAAAACTCCTCTTGAAGTGTTATTCCATGCTCCTTGAAAACTGCAGTACAGGAACTAGAATTTTCTTTTGGAAGAAGAAATTTCTCAAAGAAGTCAAGTTCTCCTACTTGAACTTCTTTCAGTAATCATTGTGATGAGCTACTTTGGAGGAACATAGCAGCACCAGTACTGTGAAAGTGTCCCACTTCAAGCACACCACAGCACTGGAACTGAAACTACTGGAATTGGATACAGGGCCTGCTTTCTAGGAGCTGACACCCAAAGATTGAATGGCACTCATCCTTTCTGTGAACATATTGTAGTCCTCAGTTTTCAGCAGGAAAAAAATGCTATTAGCAAATTATGTATTCTGTTTATACAAATAAAATCCCTTGGTACAACAGTTAGAGTACTGTCTTGTTTGATAAATTTATGAATGCATATAACATAATTTGCTCCATTTCATTCTCCAGCACTTCCCCTTTTCCTCCTGTCCTCCCTCTCCCTGATCCATTTCAGTCCACTATGTATAAATATAATGCACTGATTGCAAACATAAAAAGAGAATATCAGAAAATTTACTATGAACCTTAAACTTTGCATACTTTGACTTGGCAATTCACCTTATATAAGAATTTATATTTAAGAAATGTACTAAAGAAATGTGCACAGATATGTACAATAATTTTCTCACAATATTATTTGTAAAGTAACTAATATTGCTTTAGCCATAAAAACATGTTCTTGAGAAAATGAGGTTAGGAAATGAAGAAAATGAGAAAAATAAAATAGAAATAGTAGAAACGCAGGGGAAAGAGTACTGACTTAGAGGTCTTAGTTTCCTCACCTACTAAATAAAGTAATAATAATATTTACCCCAAAGTGCTGCTGAGATTATTTATTTTATTAACATAGGCAAAACTCCTCACATAGACATAGTTTATGCTATGTGCCCAATGTAGCAAAAATTTCTTCTTTCAGGGACCTCTGATTCATGTGCTTCTTCAGCAAATCATTTCCTCAAAACTCATTCTTGGAATGAAACGGTTGTATGGGTGTGATTTTTAACGGTACCTTTAAGCTCTGTGGCCTGGGGAATAGAAGAATTTTTCATGTTTCAGAGTAGCTGAGGATATATTTTTGACAGAGGGAGGGGGGAAAGAAGAAGGAAAAGAAAGAAACAAGAAAAAAATTATTTTTCAAAAGGAGAAAGAATTCTTTATTATTATAATGCTATCTTCAGGTTCTCACAAGTGGCCCTTAAAAGCACTATTTTGCTGATCTGGTTACTACTAAATCTGATACATAAAATAACCTACTCTAATAGATATATTTCAGCACCTTATCTGCACACTTTAGGCTTAGTGAAGGGAAAAGAAAGATGAGCTGTACCTAAATTTATGTTTGGCTATGTTTTCCTTTCCTACTATCAAGTAGCAATCACCCTTTAGTTTTTCTTCCTTTTTACTGCCACAAATGCTACTTCTTTACCAAAAGAAGCTTCTTTAAAATTCCATTCTATTCAGTAAACCAAAGCACAGCAAAAAATATGAGGAAAAATTAACTTTTCTTCCTCAAAGAAAGGGTGTTGTAAAGGGATGCACAGGCTTAGTGCTTTGGAACTGCGAAGTTCTGCAGGTTTCAAAGTAGCCAAAGATGTATTTTTGTTTATCTCTACTGATAACTATTGAATGCACAGAAAGAGAGATGCACAGGGATATTCAGTCCATCCATGTTTGTCAAATGTCTACTATATGCCAGGCTTGTACTGGAGTCAAAGAAACTTAAGTATTGAACAAAGTAGATGTTTTTGAGTGAACTACCAAATCTTTGAGTAACTATTATCTCAAGTATCTCTGAGACTCTCTTTCTCCTCTAGATAATATAGAAAGTAAGGATCCTTGTTCTGTTCTTCTGTTGACTTCAGAGGACTTCCTTTTGCTTGCTGTGATTCACTACACAAAGTGTGGACTTGATCTGTTATATTTATATAATGTGCAAGATTGGGAATATGAACATGAACAATTTAAAAACAGGAATCCCATGGAGTTCTATTTTATGCAAGTTTTACCTGTACTGGCGTTACAAATTATAAGTGTCTTATGATTCCATGAATGATTACAGGTGTCAGTGGGAAGAAATGTTGGTTGAACCATGGTAAACGAATGATCATTTCCTTATGGGCATTCCTGGCTTTTTATTAAAGATTGAGAATCTTATTTTAAAAACCATTGGGTAGTACTAATAATGGAAGTATCAACAGGTCCTGTATTATTTCACTCCACAAAAAAATACCTATGAAAACCAAATAGTATAGCACCAAATTAAACCTGCCTATTTTTAGTTGTTAAATTCTGTGTGATCAGATTGTTTGGGACCATTGTTCACTTCTCTTCTTAGGTAGTATATATTTCCATGCCATTTTTATCTAGAAAATACTTGGTGTATTTCCTTAACATATATGCTATTCTTGTATTTGTTCTCCCAGGAAAACAGAAATACCTGTGTGCCAGCAGAAATGATTGCACCATTGATAAATTTCGAAGGAAAAATTGTCCATCTTGTCGTCTCCGGAAATGCTATGAAGCAGGGATGACTCTGGGAGGTATGATTCTTTTTGTCCTCTTTCTGTTTTCCTTCTCCCACCCTGTCCCTCCGTCACTCTCTAGTTCTCTTTCTAAATTAGACTTTCTTCTTTGATGCTTCCAAGAGGAATAGCCATGTTCTAGATGCAGGCTAACCTTTTCATATCCAATGTGGCCATCAGCCAGCTAGTGCCTACTTTACCTTTAACCACTCCACTCCCTACTCTGGAATTCAGCATAGAAGAAGGAGGTGTGAAGCAGTGATCAGGGGCCAACAGTAGATGAGTGAAGATGGACCTGACTGGGCAGAGTTCCCAGGGGACATAAGGGTACTAGCCTGATGCTGTTCAATGGTAGTAAGGACAAGGGAACTAAGGAATCCAGAATAGTCACAGGTGCAGGATGACCCAGGCACATACTGGCCTTGAACACCCAGGAATATCCCTCAGCTAATTGCTGCTGCCTATGTTATAGAGCCAGCCACCTGGAATGAGAAGCTGTTTCCCTTTGGAGCGTGTGACTAGGCTGTCAAATGAGCCAATTTCCTATCATAGCCTTTTAATCATTTCCTTTTATTTATAAATCTATCGATCATTTCCAAAAATATTTTTCTGTAGTGCAATAGCTTGAGAGAAGGAAGATACAGCTCTTTTGAGCGTGACCCTCTAGCATAGGCTCTCTGTCCCCTGAGCCTGTGTCTACCATGAGCACTGTCACTATTCCAGAATGGCTCAACACCACTTAAATGACACTTTTCCCTCTCCAAATTCTCCATTTCTTCATGTTTACATCTGCCCAATGCCAGGGTCCTCCCTGCTGCCTGCTGTTCTTCAAAAGATGCATCTTTCTTAAGAAAAGCAAGCTCATTAGTCTACTTTGATTTAGAAATGTAGCTCAAAGAAAGGCAAGCTTATTTCTGAGTGCCCAAAATTACAGCCTCATACCTGATTATTCATTATCAGCTTGGAAAACCCAAGTGCCTGGATTCCAGCCTTCCCTCCTTCCCTCACAAGGCTAATTTAGAGCAATTGTCCTTCTCTGGCTTTCTGTGAGGTGCTCAATGCCTTGTCTGCCAATGTGCACATTTTTAAACACCAACTTGTTTTCTACCTCTGGAGCAGGGCCATGTGTAGTTCTTCATTTAGATAACTATATCCTTCCCTCCCCACAACCAGTAGTATTCTTTAAGCCGACAAAAGTATCTCAAACAAATTGACCCAGGCTCCATCTCAGGCAGTTTAAGCAGAAGCTTCTTAAGTAACATCTAGTACTCCCAGCCATGACAGGCAGATGCCCTGCGAATGGCTTTCTAGGCAGCCACATCAGATGAAATTCAAATATTAAACCAACCTTCTTTTTGTTTGCTTGGTGTTTGCCAATGAAACCCTGAATTTGTGATATGCAGTGGGGAGGAAGACACAGGACTAGGGTGCTGAGTGCAGAGGGAAAGCCAGGAAAGGTGCCCAAGGAATCAGAAAAAGAATTTTTTTTTTCATATGAATGTTGCAAGCCCGGGGCAAAGATTCTGATACACTCAACCCTCAATTATGTGGCTTTCTGAGAATTATGTCTAAGACATATGGACTTCCAGGTAGAGAGACCTGTGGCTTGCCATCTACTGATAGGAATTGCAAACCTATGCTGATTCAAGTCAAAAGTCCTCATACATACAGGCTCAAATCTTAAGACATAACACTACATCTTAGCCAATATCCTCCTTCGTAAGAGAGTCTTTGTGGCTTGATTTCAGTGAACCATTTTGAAAAAGAGCCTGTGTATAACATATAATTTCACTATACTCTAAAGCAGTCATATATAAGTTGGTAAATTATTTTATTGGAGAGTGGTACAGTAAGTTTTCAGATTGGTTTGTTGGGTAGAGTGCTCAAATTTGAATAGGTGTGGTCAACACATGAAGACAAACTGAGAAGTGCTGTGGCTGGATTCCATTTCAGTTCCATTCCCATGATATTTACTTAGTTGTCTGTTTTGTGTAAAGCATAATGCTAGGCATTAGAACTTAAGACTGGCAAACTTCATTCAACACCCACATGCTACGAGGATATTTGATGTGTAAATGGCCTTGCCTTTGGAGTCAAACAAACCTAGGTTAAAAGACCAGCTCCATTATTTACTGTGTGCCCCCTCTGAGCCTCAATGTCCTCATCCGTAATTTAGAGATGCCATCCTCACTGTTACAGTGAGTAGAGATGACGTGAATGTGAACATTATCGATAAATGACAAAGTGCTAGACAAATGTGAGGGTTATTATGACAGTTAAGTCACTAGTAATTTAGCTGGGAAGGCTGTTCATAGCACTTCTAAGTGACTTTTATCCTGAGTGATTTGGCATGCCCTCTAACATGTAATAGCTCTACAGGCAGAGAATCACCAGAAAGCACTCTTGATCACCTAAAACTAAAAAAAGTACTATCAGGATCCTGTTTGGAAGCTTATTTTAGTAATTAAGAAAATTATATGCTATGCTCAAGTACCATGTCAGTAAAAATCCAACTGTTTGCCTTTTTAAACCACCGTTTGAAATAACAAAATTTTGCATTTTGCTGAACATATCCCTTGCCTTCCTCCCTTAATTTCCACCCCCCCCCTCCCAAATTTACTGTTAACCTACAAATTCAGCCCACACCACACCTGTACTCAAACAATGGAGAAAAGAAAAGCATCAATACAGAGTGGCCCTTGTGAATAACAATAGACTTTTATATTCATAAGATTTTGGTTTAGCATAGACATTTTGATTACTTTGAAGAATTCATATAATTTCAGTCAAATCAAAATGATGTATTTTCCAAAGTGTCAACTAAGAATGAGTCCCTTCTCTCTTCTGAGGCTCATTATAAAATTGGAATAGTGGGTTTCATTGAGGACATTTCTGGTGCTAGTAATTTTGGATTTTCTGTCTAAATCCATACAGGAAGGATTTTAAATTTACCAGCCAGCTACTTCTTGGATTGTCTTTCCACTGTTCCCAGAAGTATGAGTGCATTGACTTGAATAGTAATTTGAGCTATCCCTGTTCACAACTACATCAGAAACATTATGTGTCTAAATGTAGACTGGATGGATAGATTATTGAGGGAGTGGAGGGTAGAAGGGCTGTCTCTGTATCTTAGAGAAGCTGGCACTGCAGCTGATGGCTGCTTGGACTCAAGGTCTCAAGACATCTAATCTGGCTTTCTCTATAGTGTTCCATTTACTGGTGATGGGAGCTTTGAATTCATAGATGCTTTGTTCCTTTTGCTTCTAAGCCTACATGCCTGTCCTTGCTTTGTCTCTTAGCAGTTATTTCTTATTTCTGAAAGGATACTGTGGCTGGTTGTATTCTTAGGATGATTCCCTTAAAGAATACCTGCAGGCTCTCAATGCCCATCCACTACAGGCCTTTCTTTATACCTGGTTCATTCCTTGCTACTTTTTGAAAACCACATATTATTAATTGCTTCAAAAATTTAAATCCCTTATCTACTTTTCACTTAAGAAAACACTTATAAATATAACTGTCCAGATACAGACCTTCCCTCCAGTGAATTAACTGTGGCTTTTCATAGTCCATATTTAGAATAAATACCCAGCCATCTCTCACTTTTCTCTGTACTTCCCAAGGATACACTCTCAGTCTCCAAGATGGAATGAGAAAAAAAAATAATTGCCCTTCCTGTCATTTTCTCATCTCACCCTTCCTTCTATCCCACTTTCACCCCTTTTTCTTTTTGAAACATTATTTCTTTTTGTGTTTTGCAACTCTTGAATTGTCAGCTTTTAGTAAATAGCATTGACATCTGTTTATACCTTCTCCTGGCCCATGGAAGGTTGTAGGCCTTTCACAAATTTCAGGTGGCAACCAAACTCCAGAAGAGAAGAGGGAACATGGATCCCCAGAGCATGTGAGATTCTGAGGTGTGCAGCATGTCCTTCAAAGGTTGAGAAGTCTCTTTCCTACTAGGAGACTGAATTCTTCATCTAAGAATCAAATATATCTGCAGGTTTTAACAATCTTTATGAATTCTCTGTTTGGGAGGATGGCCCAGGGACCCCCTGGAAATGGTCTGATTTCATCATGGACGGTATGAATATCCTTGGTTTCCAGTGTTGAAGACAGTCCTGATGGAAGCTGTCTCCCCATTCTCCCTGTGCAAGAGAAATCCAGAATTGCTACTTCCAGATCATGTTTCCTGGATGCAAGAGAGTGATTCCAATGATGAAATACCATTTATGGCATGGTTCTTCACATCATTTATTCATCCATCTATCCACCATCCTTCCAACCAGACAAAAAACTAGTGTTTTCACCTTTCTATCCACTCATATGCATTAATTTAAAAAGTATTTATTGAGTACCAACTATGTACCAGACACTGTGCTAGGCTTTTGAAGGAAGTAAAACTTGAATAGAACATGATCCTTGCTTTGAAAAGTTAAATAAAGGGAGACAATGATAATCAATACACCTTGGCTGTAAAGGATAAGTAGGAAATTATTGGGAATAAGTTTAGTGAGAGAGAAGGGAAAGGACATTAAAGAATAAGAGCAGAGTTTGAATAAAGGCACAGAGTCATGATAAAATGCATTGAGGAACTGAGGAACATCCAGTAGTTTAATTTGGCAAGAGATGGGGAAATGGGGAAGGAATGCTGTAATCACATTGAAAATGAACTTGATTATTATGCCTAGAGGGTTCACTTCAGGCAGTTGCAGATTTATGACCATAAGACAGGCATGGCCACTTGACATATTGCTTATTTGTATGTGTGATTTTTTAAAGGAATTGATGGCAGCATGAATCCTATTCTAGTGTGGGCTTAAGTTTTACAAATGGAGTCATTAGGCTATGTAGAGAGAAATATCTAGCATCAAATTTTGTTAAACACGTTGGATTGGTACCTGGTTCTAGTAGTTTGTGCTTCGGATGATACCTACAAGGACTGACCATATACATGAGGAATAACTTGTCTAAACCAAGGCTTGTATAAGGGGCAATACTGCATTACCGCCCCCCCC